ACTTCTTTTCTTCCTTCTTTCCTCCTTCTTTACTTCCTTCCTCCCTCTCTCAATTCCTTCTTTCCTTCCTTCCTGATTGGCCAATAAAAGGTCCCAGGCCAAGCCCTGCTTGGTCATTGTTTGGACTCTGATTGGCAGAATGTAAATAGCAATTGTTTATTTTGCCCAGAACCCTGAGGGTCTTCCCTTCCCAGATCTATTTCATTTTTTAAAGAGGTCATTCTTTGCTTCATTTCTTATTAAGCCTTAATCATTGAACTGACTTTTCCTCAGTCAAACTGAGACCAGTTAAAGATCTTAGCTTGAAAAGGCCAAGGTCCCCCTTGGCCACTGCCACCTCCAGTCATCCTAATCCATATCTGGCCACTGGGCCCAGATGGCTCCAGAGGAGAGAGTGAGGCTGGTGATTTTGCACAGCCCTGCCTCACTTCAATCCAATTCACTTGCATGTCATCGCATCACCTCCCTGATGTCATGGTCCTCTTCGAGAATGAAGGACAAACATCAGCTGAAGCTGCTCCATTTGTGGGGCCATAAAGGGTGGGGGAAGCAGGTCCCTGGGGTAGATAATATCCAGGGATAAGATGGAGGAACTTTACAAAACAGAGTCACTTTGGTTCCTTTGCTACGTACATAGGGAGTCTGGATTCAGAGAGAATGGCCCCTGGTAGCAGTCGAGCCCCAGCCGAGGTGAGTGCAGTCCATCCACAAACTTGGCCAATATCAGCAATCCAGGCCATTTCCATAGACGTAGAGGATGGTCTGTATAGCTGGCTATGCCTGCCTTATGGATCATTTCTTTATAAAAATAGTCATGAAATTGAATACAGTAGTAACAACACTGCCCTGCTCCCATCTTCTATGTTTTAAGCTGATTCTTTGGTACCCTCCTGTCTTGAGCACTTCCCCCCACCCCCATGCTGCCCTCCCCTATTTGTCTGTATCTTTGTTTTCATTTTTGTGAAGCAATGGGTTTAAGTGACTTGCTCCGGGTCACACAGCTATTAAGTGTCAAGTGTCTGAGGCATTTGAACTCAAGTCCTCCTGACGCCAGGGCCAGTGCTCTGTCCACTGCACCACCTACCCTTGCCCCCCATTTGTTTTTAAGTTCCCCTTCATTACAGCTGACAGACAAGGGTGACTCCTTCATTCCTTACTCTCTATTACGTAGGGATCATATCTTTGTTCTCTTAATTCATGCCTAGCACCCTCTCCCCCTACACACAGCTTCTCCCCCTCCTCTTTGTTTCTTGTGGCCACACTCTCCCTTGTAGCAACTGAAGGTCCAGGAAACCGCTTCACCCTGACTCTTGTCTAGAGTGGCCTGGAGCAGAGCCCTGAAGGCTCTCCCAGTTCTTGTCCTTTGCAGTGCGGTCTTCAGAGCAGAAATTGTGCTCCTGGTGCTGCTCATGTCCTCCTGCCTCAGATCACACAAGCCTTCCCAGGTCCCTCTGAACCCCTCTCATTTTCCAGTTCTTAAGTCAAGTCAGTGAGCATTTTAGAAAGGTCCTGGATGTACAAGCCCAGGATTTCTTGTACAGAGAGCTCTGGGGCCACCCTGCTACTCTTGTGTTTCTAAGACCTGTCCTGGCACAGTGATTGAATGACAGATGGCTTCTCTGCTGTTTAAAAGAGGCTCCTGGGATTCTCACCTTTGCCTCCGTTGTTGCTGGGCACCAGGACTAGCTTCACTGCATACCATATTACTATACAGATTGGCTTCCTGGTGGGATAATTTGGTCTTCCATGTGCTGAGTGCCTTGCACTGGCAGAGACCATGAGAGCAACGAGGAGAAAAGGAAGGACTGACAGAGTCAAGTTAGTGTGTCAAGGTACCTCAGACAGTTTTTTGGAAATCTTGACTCTGCTGTAGGCTGGAGCAGGTTCTAGATTGACCTGGGAAGGGAATAATGGAAGGAACTGACTCAAGCCAGTACCCAGTTTAGATGTTAAGCAAAAATCAGACACTGCTAGGTCATTCAACGAGTAAAAGGAGCTTTACTTAAGTATAGCACAAAAAGGACATTCAATAGGGATGCGAGAGGTCTGTAGCTTGAGTAGACAAGGCTCCCCTCACCTCCATGCGGGAGCTCATTTGGTCACAGAGCAAGGTATGGCAGTGTGCCACTTGGGGAAAGCTGCCATATCTCAAGATATGGTCGGATGGGAACCAAGTTATGAAAGGCTCTGAATGCTACAAAGGAGTTTGTATTTGATTCTGGGAAGTAATAGGAAGCAACTGTAATTTATGCAATGAGAATAAAATGTGGACAACCCCCCTCCCCCCCCACTTTGATCAGTTGGACAGCTGACTAGGGGATGGGCTGCAGTGGGGAGAAAGTTGAGGCAGGCAGACTCCCCCCAGCAACTATTGCCATTGTCCAGGTGTGAGACAATGAAGGCCTGCCCCTGGGTGAGGGTGTATTCCAGAGATGGTGAAAGGGTAAACGTGACAGGGCTCAACTACAGATTTGATATGAGAAGGGGGGGGTGGAATATGACACCCAGGGTGACTGACTAGGGGACCAGAAAGGTGGTGCCCATTAGGAAGTTACTGAAGAGGGAAAGATCTAGGTGTAAAGGAAAGCCTTTTGATTTGTCCTTTGGGAGCCAGATAACCCCTTCTCTGGAGACATTTGGGATTGAGACAGCTTGTTCTACAAAACTCAGTGGGGTGGAAATGAATTTTTTCATTTCGGTCATGTTCAACACTTAGTGAACCCATTAGGGCTTTCCTTGGCAAAGATACTGGAGCAGCTTGCAGTTCATTTGACAGATGAGGAAACTGAGGCAAACAAGGTTAAGTGACTTGCCCAGGGTCACACAGCTAGTAAGTTTCTGAGGCCATATTTGAACTCATGAAGATAAGTCTTCCTGATTCCAAGTCCAGTGCTCTATCCACTACACCACCTAGCTTGCCCTTCTCCATCATAGTTGCTGTTATTACTAAGTAATTAATTATGTAATTAAGGACTATATGCTGTTGACAGATCAAAGCAATCTTAAAGCCAAGGCATAAGCTGTTTTGGGTATGACACATACCCAGAGTGACCTCAAGCCCTCAATGTAAGTAACAGATAGGGCTCCTTCACTTGCTGGAAACCAGCTCATACCATTCAGTGCAGTCTAGATTCTGATGAATATCTTTCTAGCATCCTCTTCATGTTTTCATCTTGATAAGAGTTTATTTCAGCCATTCAGGAAGCTAACTAGATCTTTTCTTTAACTTTATTCTCTCTTCAATGATCATATAAAATGTTTTTATTTCCCTAGAATGCAGTGTTACCTGCCTATTTCTCGCATACTTTTCTTTAGAATATGTCAGTTAGATCAGTTCTGATAAGGAAGAAATTTCACATCACCCTCTATCTTTCTCCTCCACAGATGCACCTCACAAATAGAACACAAACTTTCTCCCTGATTCCCTCAGGAGACACATTCCATTTCTCAGACACAGCTTTATTCCAAATGATGATATAAAATGCTTTTCTCCAAATTCCATCGGGTTCTTACTGCGGCTTCAAGAGTTGACTGTGACACCCATAAAGGGTATGACCTTTGGGCAGATCCCTTCTCTGGGCTTCAAGTTTCCTCCTGTACATTGATGGGGATTGGACTATTGAACTCTGAAGTGTCTTTCAGCTCCCTGTCCTGTGACTTTTGGTGATTTAGGAGACAGTGACATTCAAGGACGTGGCTGTGGACTTCACCCAGGAGGAGTGGGGCCTCTTGGACCCTCCTCAGAAGGAGTTGTACAAGGAGGTCATGCTGGAGAATGCCCAGAACCTGCTCTCTCTGGGTAAGGACGCTTCCCCTGGCCACTCTGAGTCTGCAATTGGAGGGAACATCTTCATTCCCTAGTGTGCAGGGTTTGGAGCATCTATCGATTATTAGAGAGAGAAAAGTACTGGTCTGCTGTGTCCAAGAGACAGACCCCTCCTGCTCCCTGGTTTTCCTCTAGGAAGTCTTTGCATTCTGTGATAGGGACCTGAGGGTTTCCTTTGTTGCTCCCGATGCCATCTCTTCCCAATGCCTGGTAGCGTCAGGTCAGAGATCCAGTCAGTGTGGAAGCATCTCAGATGTGGATCTGACCTCAGAGGTTAAAAGTCTCACCTCTACCTGGGCGTGAATTCTGCTGCCAAATCTCTGAGTTGCTCAGGTGGCTTTTCCCTGCGGCCCCTTCCTCTTCGGGACGGGCCAAGGATTTGGAATCTTCTTCTTTTGAGCAAGGCAGACGGTGGTAGCTCACAGCTCTTCAATGTGTCTGGTGTAGCAGGTTTGTCCTTCATCTTCCTTTCTGTTACCCCAAACTTCCAGCACAGATGGTGGGAAAGGAAGGGAAGGGAATGAGCATCCATATTCACCTGCTGTTTGCTATGGGCTCTGCCAAGGGCTTTCTTTACAATATTATGTCACTTCATCTTCATCATAACCTTCCAGGTTAGGTGATATTATTCTCCCCATTTTAGAGTTGGGAAACTGAGGCAAACAGAGAGTAAGTGACTAGTCCAGGGGCACACAGGTACTAACTATCTGAGGCCAGATTTAACCTCAGGCAATCCTGACTCCAGGCCCAGGGCTCTCTCCACTGCACCATCAGCTGTCTCTGATTTCTAGACAATGGAAACTATGCATTGAGTCCATCCTTCTATGAAGAAGGTGCACCAAGACCAAATTCTCTGGCACCAGGCTGGTTCCAAGATCTTCTCCCCCACCTCTCCCCAAAGCTGCCACAAAATGAATGCTATGGAAAGTGTTCTTCACTCTGGCGTCCTTGTATGCATGCCCCTGTGGATGCCAGGACTAACAGGCAGGCTAAGAAAGAGAGTTTTAACCAACTAGAGTTTGTTGGGTTTGCCAGCAGGAGCCTCTCCCCCAAAGAGGGAAACACCCCCTGAGTGAACAGTACACAAGGTTTATATAGGGTTCAGGGAGTGAGGAGCCAGGCTGGGGGTGGGGAGCAAAAGCTGATTCATCAAGAGCTGAGGCTTGCAGCTGATCTGGGGGTGAAGCGTTTCTGCCAGAATGGAGCATAACAGGATGGGGGGCTGAGGGTTTGGCTGTTTCTCAGAATAGTTTGTACAACACATCCTACTTCAGGTTACATATATCACAGGCACTAAAGGGTCAGTACAGATGCCTATGTGTGGCCAGAATGGAGTGATTCTCCAAATGGAGCAGCTCTGTGTCCACACTCCTTTCCTCCAGAGAACTAAATTACAAGTTTCTCTCCACGCTTATCCCTAACTAATTCCCCACTTCCAGGGCTTCCAGTTCCCAGAGAAGATGTGATCTCTTATTTTGAGCAAAGGGAAGCACCATGGATGCTGGAGCAAGAAGGCCTGAGGAGCCGCTGTCCAGGTGAGTGAGGTGAAAGCAGGTCTATGAGAGCTGTGATTACAAGAGGCTGCTCTGTGTTGTGGTGAAGCAAGGGCTAAATTTGGGACAGGAAGACCTGCCTTGGAATTCATTTTTGGATACTTTTTAGCAGTGGCTTCCTGGGCCAGTCACTGAACGATGGAGCTTCCGTGTCCCCATCTGTAAAATGAGAAGGTTGGACTCCATGGCCTTTCTGCTGCCTTCTAGGATAAATCTATAGTCCTAGGAGAAGTCATTATTTAGAATTTGGGGGGCATGGAATCTCCTGAAGGTACAAAAAGGGGCTAGGCTCCCCTAGATGAGCTCTTTCTTAGACCTTCTTCAAGCAAACAAATATTTATTAAGTGCCCGCTGCATGCCAGGCCCTGTGCTAAGCGCTGGCAACACTAAGTGACACAAGGAATGCTCCTGACCCTCATGAAGCCCACAGTCTGGGGGGCGGATATCACGCCACCAAACTCCAAGTTTTCCAGATCTGCAGGACTGGGAAAGGCTTATTGTGGAAGGGGAGCTCTAGCTGGGGCTTCGGGAAGCCAGGTGGAGCATTCCAGGGGAAAGGGATAACGAGAAAAACTCACAGAGGCAGGAGGTGGAGTGCGCCGCTGACCGAACCGAAAGGAGGCCCATCCCCTGCATTATAGCAAATGTGGGGAAAGTAGGGTGAGAGAAGACTGGAAGAGTGGGAGGGGGAGGTGATGAAGGGCCCTAGCAAGGATTTTATATTGGATTCTTTTGCTGGGGAGTCAGAGGGAATTGTTGAGTGGGTGGTGACGTGATCAGCTGAGAGCTTCGGGACAATGACCTTGACAGCCGGGTGGAGAAGTGACTAGGCTAGGGAGTGATGAGGCAGCTGGATGAAGTACCTAAGGTGTGAGGTGATTGGGTTCAGAACCAAGACCGTGACAGTGTTGAGAGAGAAGGGGGTGTATGGCAGAGATGTCACACAGGTGGAATCACGGGACTTTGCTCCAGATTGAAGATGGTGGTCAGGAGGGTGAATGTGTAAGAATCAATGAGGAGTGCATGACACTTCATCTCTGAGCCTGGACTATTGGAGGATTCTTTGGATAGCCTTAGGAAAGTAGGAAGATGGGAGGGTTGGGGCAAAGAGAATGAGTTTCACTTTGGATATTATAAGGAGAACCAGGAGAGAGTTGTGTCAAAGCTTAGAGAGGAGAGTATCAAGAAAAGGGGGTGATCAGCAGTGTCAGAGCCTGCAGAGAGGTCAAGAAGAATGAGATCGAGAAATAGCATCGAATTTAGCAATTTCAAGATTGCTGGTAATTTTAAAGAAAGAAGTATCAGTTGAACAATGACATTGGGAGCCAGATTGCAGAGAGTTCCAAAGACAGCAAGGGAAAGCAGTTGGAGACGGCAGTTATAAATGGCCACCTCTAGCTGTTTAGCCATGAAGTGGAGAAAAATAGAGGACAATATCTCATGGGGCTGCATGGATCACTGAGGGTGTTTTGAGAGAAATGATTTCATTTGTGACAGGAGGAAAGAAGTCATTAGTATGGGAAAGAGTGGAAATTAGTGGAAAAAATTGAGATACTAGGGGAAGAACATACGAGGCCAGATGAGGGATAGAATGGGATTATTTGCACATATAAAGAGAATTGCTTTAGAAAGCAGAAGGATGACCTTTTTATCTGATGCTGGGAACAAAAAGGAAAAGAAGGCATCTACTTTATGTGGCATAAGGAGAATAAGATAGATCTTGATAAATGTCCATTTTTTTTTTCAGTGAAATAAGATACCAAGTTCTTAATGAGAAGGTGTGGATTGGGGTGGGGTGGGGGGGGGGCAGAGAACAAGCCATAAAGGAGGGAAGGTTGTCAATCAATAAAAAGATTTGGAAAAGTTTTTGTGGTGAGTGACATGGAGAGTCAGGGAGATGTCAAAGGAGCGCCTTGCCACAGTAAGGGTCCAGCTGAGATTATGTAGCTGAAATTTGTAGTGGATCTAGGTGGCCTGGTTTCATGATTTTGTCTTTCTTATCCAGCAGCACATGAGTAGGAGTGAAGGCTACTGCCTTACTTAGAAGTAATGTGAGGCTAAACTTTGCATAAATCATCAGCCCAATCAGTCCTGATCTCTATGGCTCAAACCCTGTCCCATTCTTGGAAAATCATTAACCAGGTTCAGGTAGCTGACTGCCACCACAGTTTAGGGAGCTGGGAGGTAGAGACTTGAAAGTGTCTAGTATGAGACCCTTCAGGAGCCTAGAATGAAGCCTCTATGATCTTCAAAGTTGGGTCTGGTCAGGTTCTATTAGGGTTAAAACCCAATAAAGGTGACTACTTAGAGGTGAGTGGGTGCAAGAAAGAGACAGAACCATGACTGAAGCCAGAACATGCATTTGACAACTCTGAGAGAGACCAGAATGCAGGGATTGAGGTAGAGGCTGGGGCCTGCTGTCAGCCTGGGCCCAGTCAGACAATCAATAAACACTGATTAAGCACCTTCTGTTTTAAGCACTGTGCTAAGCTCTGAGGGTACAAGGAAAGGCAAAAGAAAGTCTCGCTGTCAGAGAGCTCACAATCTAGTAGACAAACATGGACAGAGTCGGAAGAAGCAATGGAAAATAAACCTCACTCTTAGCTGATCTATGTGAAAGGAGGTAGTTTTGGAATGGAAATACATTTAGTTCCACAGGGAAATGAGAGAATATAAGGAGTGAGGATATTAACAGCCTGAGAAGAAGAACAGAATTGGGGAGAAATAGTCTAAATCAAAATCATAGTGATAAAAATAATGGCATCTATAGTCATATGAAAAAGTGCTCTAAATCACTATTGATCAGAGAAATGTAAATGAAAACAACTCTGAGGTAGCACCTCACACCTATCAGAGTTGCAAATATCACGAAAAAGGAACATGTTGGATGTTGCAGGGGATGTGGGAAAACTGGGACACCAGTGCACTGTTGGTGGAGTTGTAAACTGATCCAGCCATTCTGGAGAACAATTTGGAGCTATGCTCAAAAGGCTATAAAACTGTACATAACCTTTGATCCAGCAATACCACTGCTAGGTCTATGTCCCAAAGACATTCAAAAAAAAAAAGGAAAAGGACCTATTTGTGCAAAAATATTTAAAGCAGCTCTTTTTGTGGTGGCTAAGAATTGGAAATTGAGGGGATGCCCTTCAACTGGGGAATGGCTAAACAAGCTGTGGTATATGATTATAGTGGAATATTATTGTGCTATAAGAAATGACAAGCAGGATGACCAGAAAAACCTGGGAAGACTTATACGAACTGACACATAGTGCAGTGAACAGAACCAGAACATTGTGCACAGTGACAGCAACATTGTTCGATGAAGAATTGTGAGGGACTTAAGTTTTCTCAGCAATGCAATGATCCAAGATAATCCCAAATGACTAACAATGAAGCATACTATCCGACTCCAGAGAAAGAACTGATATTGATTGAATAGAAGCTGAAGCATGCTATTTTCCACTTTCTTTCATTTTTTTCTTTCATTCAAATCTTCTTGTACAAAATGACTAATATGGACATGTTTTACATAATTGCACATGTATAACCTATATCTGATTGCTTACTGTCTCAAGGAGCTGGGAAGGGAGGGAGGCATAGAATTTGGAACTCAAAACTTTAAAAAAAAATGTTGAAAAATTGCAAAAAATCATACCTAGCATTTACATAGCACTTATGTGCCATTCATGTTAAAAATATAATTTCATTTGATCCTCATAAGAAGCCCAGGATTTAGGTGCTTTTATTATGCCTATTTTAGAGATGAAGAAACCGAGGCAAATAAAGGTCCTGTGACATGTCTAGGGTCACAATACTAGAAAGTTTTCGAAGTGGGATTGAAACTCAGGTCTTCCTGGCCTGAGGCCCAGTGTTCTATCCACTGCACCAACAGCTATATTGTGAATTTTAAAGAGAATATCATGAAAATGCTCAAGTATGTGTAATGTAGAAAACAGGAGGAGAATTGGACAAGATCTCTTGCTGAGGGATGAAAATTCATCCTTTGTTTTTAGCTCCCTAACCAGTCAAAAAAATGAGTTGCTGATTACTATATAAAAGATTGCTTTTTCTACTGGCTCATGACAGGAAGTATATTAAATGATCAATGTACTTGAAGGTCAGTTGTGCATGTTACTTTTTTAAAACAATGTTTATATTTAAACCTCCTTTATAAGGACAGGATTTCTTCAAACATAACTTTCTTTTTTCTACCACTGGAAAATCAGCTACACTCTCACTGAAACTCCACTGAGCGACTAAGCTGTGTTGCTAAATTGTTCTTTGAGAAGCTGACAGAGAGATGAACAATAACACGAGTAGAGGATAACTTCAAATTAGAAAACAACCTTAGCATTTCAACGAGGGGCATTTTAATGTCTGTTTTTGTAGCAGAGTTGTGCTGGTCCATGATGATTTCAAGATGGACTCTACTGTGCATGCCTAGCAATCGTGGTTTTCAAATAGCCTTGCCCTCACTACTGCAAGAATGCAAACCCAGGTGAGATCGAGATCTGGAGATTTCAAGTTTGATGAGATGTGATTACAAGGTAACCCAAGAATGAGAGTGCAGTGATAGATGGTCACCAGGGTCTGTGCATGCCTGTGACTATTTGCACATGAATGTCCAACCTTCCTGGAAGTTTAGAAACGATTTGAGGTCAAGTTGGAAACTGAAGGAATATGCTGCACATAGTCAGAAGTAGTCAGACTGTGATGTTATCATTGCATGATATGCCTGAACATAATGATTTGGAATCACTGCAGAAAGAATCTTATTATGGTTAAAATATGCACATGCTTCTTGCCCCAGGGGATAAATGTCTTCATAACAAAATTGGGTGATTATTTACTGCTTAAGATGCCTTTGAAAAAAATTTAGTTCAAATCCTTTGGACCACTGTCTAGAACTTCCAAGTGATTTGTGAACCCCTAAATGGGAAGGGGCTTTAAGAGGACTAATAGTGAAGCATGCTGTCCATTTCCTTACAATAGGATGATAGAATCAAATATGAGAGACATATTTTCAGACATGGGAAGTGCCATGCATTTTAAAATTTTTGTTTATTACAAGGATTTATTTTTAGTACAGTTTTTATTTTTGATGTAATATTTTATTTACCCCTATTAAATAGTAAAACAATTTTGAAATTTTTTTTTAATTTTGAATTCCAAATTCTATTCCTCCTCTTCTCCCCTCTCTGAGATGGTGAGCAATCTGATATAGGTTATACATGTGCAATCATTATTACAAGGATTTTATTTTTATTTAAAAACAATAAAAAAAAAAAAGAGATGGGGCAGCTAGGTGGTGCAGTGGATAGAGCACCAGCCCTGGATTCAGAAGGACCTGAGTTCAAATTCGGCCTCAGACACATAACACTTACTAGCTGTGTGACCCTGGGCAAGTCACTTAACCCCATTGCCTAACCGAAAACAAAACAAAACAAACAAACAAAATAAAAGAAATAAGTAATGGCTATCCCAAAAAATTAAAAAGCCTGAACAAATTCTTTTATGCCTTAGGTAAATGCAAAAACTGTAGTGGTATTCTTCATGTGACCTTAAATTCTGGAACAGAAAAAAATAAGATTCGAAGCTATTACTACAGAAATTACATTATACTTTCAGATATGATAGATCATGAAATAATTTGAATATTTAGTATATGTGAATCAAATGGCATAATATCTCTGAAGAAAAGATTGAAAGTGCAGATAGTGAAAGTGAAAAGGAAAGATTGAAAGTGGAAACAATCTGTCTAGTACTGTGGACAGAGTATGCCCAGCCACAGGTTGAGTTCCTGTCTCAGCCCCTGGGATTTGGATGAATTCTGAGCTCATGCCCTGAGTTGTGAATGTGATATGAATGTCAGCCCTTCCAGCGTCAAAGGTTTGTTGTGAGGATCCACAACTGTAACTGTGTGTGAAATTCTTTATAAGTTAAATCATCCCTGGAATGTGAGCTAATGGCATTTTGAAATAATTGGTTCTGCCCAATTAAATTTGAAAACTTTTCTCTTTGCCTAGGGAAAGAGAATGTAAAGGAGTTTATGTTCTGCCAAAGGAGGGAAGGGGATATAACTATATATGTGTCTATGTATATATGTTTTATTGCTTTTGTCTTTCAGAAGGAGAGATCAGACTTAAAATGAAAGAGACTACTGCAGCGCTAAGCCTTTCTGTAAAAAAAAAACTCACAAGCAAAGATTCAGAAGTAATGGTCCCTGTGGCTTCACTTGTAGAGAGATCTGTGCTACGTATCAGAGAATCCATACTGGGGAAAAACCTTATGAATGTAATCAATGTGGAAAGGCTTTTACACATAAAGGCACTCTTACTGTACATCAGAAAGTCCACAGTGGAGAGAAGTCTTATAAATGTAATCAGTGTGAAAAGGCTTTCAGAGATAGCTCCAGTCTTGCTAAACATCAGAGAATCCACATTGGAGAAAAACCTTATGAATGTAATCAGTGTGAAAAGGCTTTCAGAGACAAGTCCATTCTTGCTCTACCTGAGGGGATTCACACACAGGAGAAACCTTATGAATGTAATGTATGTGGAAAGGCTTTCAGAAGCAGCTCCAGTCTTGCTAAACATCGGAGAACCCACACTGGAGAAAAACCTTATAAATGTAATCAGTGTGGAAAGTCTTTCCTACAGAGGGCCAATCTTGCTTTACATAAAAGAATCCACACTGGAGAAAAACCATATGAATGTAATCAATGTGGAAAGGCTTTTGCACGTAAAAGAACTCTTACTGGACATGAGAGAACACACACTGGAGAGAAACCTTACAGATGTAATCAATGTGGAAAGACTTTCAGAGAAAGCTCCACTTTTGCTAAACATCAGAGAATCCACACTGGGGAGAAACCTTATGAATGTCATCAGTGTGGAAAGGCTTTCAGCGCCAGCTCGTCTTGCTGTACATCAGAGAATCCACACTGGAGAAAAACCTTATGAATGTAATCAATGTGGCAAAGTTTTTACATATAAAACAAGTCTTATTGTACACAAGAGAAGACACACTGGAGAGAAACCTTATGAATGCAATCAATGTGGAAAGGCTTTTACACAGAGGGCCAATTTTAGAGTACATCAGAGAATCTACACTGGAAAGACCTCATAAGTGTAATCAGTATAGAAATTCTTTCAGACTCATGTACATTCTTAATGTACACCAGAGAAGACACACTGGAGAGAAACCTTATGAATGTAATCAGTGTGGAAAGGCCTTTACACAGAGGACTCAACTTGCTGAATAGCAGAATCCACACTGGGGAAAAATCTTATGAATATAATCAATGTGGAAAGGCTTTCATAGGCAACTCCAGTCTTGTTGAACCTCAGAGGATACATCCTGGAGAAAAACCTTATGAATGTATTCAATGTGGAAAGGCTTTCATAGGCAGCTCCAGTCTTGCTGAACATCAGATAATCCACAGTTGTGAGAAACTATGAATGTAATCAGTATAGAAAATCTTCCCTACGAGGGACAGTCTTGCTTTACATAAAAGAATCCACACTGGAGGTTGTGAATGTAATCATGTATGATTATTGAATGTTATGAATGTAATCAATGTGGAAAGGCTTTCAGAGACAGCTCCAGTCTTGCTAAACATCAGAGAATCTACATTGGAGAGAATGCAATCAATGTGGTAAAGCCTTCAGGCAAAAGTCAGCCTTTGTTTCACATCAGAGAATTCATATAAGATATAAATCTTAGCACTGACATGATTGAAGAAAGGCACTGAAATGGAGCACGGAGCTTCTTATACAGCAGAAAATTCTAGTCCATTTATGGACTCATAAGCCTTCAAAGGCCTTCAGCCAAAGATCATTTCTTATCCTATCATCAGAGGATTCATAGTAGGAGAATGTGCTCCATGGGGACATGCCTTTGTCGGGAAGATGGAGGTCACTGATGAAGTGTTAAATGTTGTGTCTGATTGTAACAGAATGGTGAAAGAAAGGGAAATAATTCATGCCATCCCACCAGGTTGCAAAACCAAAAAAGGAGGAAATAGGCTCATAAATGATAGGACTAAGGGAAAGAAGACATCTGGATGTTCTCAAAAATAGAATGTCTTCAGAATAAGGAAATGAGCTCACATCAATATTAGGTCAACTGGGAAACTGTGTGTGGTGAAGGGAAGAAATCAAGAGTTGTTTGATCAAAGATATAAAAATTGGGGTCATTTAGGGGAATTTAGTGGTCTCCTGCAGGCCACCTACACATATGTCAGATTACATGCAGGCTACCCCATCTGCCAATCAAGAAACTTTTCATTAACTTCTGCCTCCTGATTTTTGTGACCCAACAATCCCCTGATGGACTTGAGGCAGAGTTTCTGTGGAACTTTCAATGCCTTCAAAAAGATAAGAGTTTCTCCCTCTGTTTTTCTAACTCTGGTCAAGTTGGGTAGACAGACAAGAGACACACAGGAGGGCAACAAATTTTTTTTTTTCCAATCTGCAGAAATTTATAGTTACCATAACCTAATTAAACACTAAATTTATGACTTTAAGAAGGGGGTGTGGAGCCAAAATGGCCAAGTACGGGCAGAAACTCACCTGAATTCTCCCAGGTTCCTCTCCAAACAGCTTAAAATGCTTCAAGTCACATTTTGGAGTGGAAGAACCAACAAAAAGTCAGGATGAATCAATTTTCAAACCCAAGACAATGTAGGAAACCAACAGGAAAATGAGTGATGGTTAGGCCTGGAGAACAGAGCAGTGCACACCACTCTCCACAGCAGCTTAGAGAGTTCTCAGCTCACAGACAGTAAAGGGTTTAGACAACTGGTGAAAAAATGATAAGAAGGGACCTTTTGCTGGCATTGGTGCAGGACCATCTAGTATTGCACATACGCATGTTGCATTCCCAGGGTAAACGGAAGAGGGAAGGAGAGAATTTGGAACTCAAAATTTAAAAGAAAACTTTAAAGCATTATTTTTGCATGTAATTGGAAAAAATTAAATATAAAATTTTTCACAAAAAAAAAGTGCTGCACTCAATATGCAAGCAAATTTGGAAAACTCTAAAGTGGTCACAGGATTGGAAAACATGAGTTTAAGTCCCAATCCTAAGGAAAGGCTAGGCCAAAGGATGTTTAAATTACCAAACAATTGAAGTCATTTCACACTGCAGCAAAGTTATGCTTAAGATTCTGCAAGCTAGATGTCAACTTTATGTGAAGCAGGAATGAGCAGAGTGCAAGCTGGTTCTCAAAGAGGCAGAGGAACAAGAGAGCAAATTGCCAACATTCGTGGGGGTAGGAAGACAGCAAGGGAATTACCCAAAATGTAAAAAGCATCTACTTCTTTTGTTATCTGCTGCCTTTCACTGTGAAACACAACAGAATGTGGCCAGTCCTCAAAGAGATGACCTAGGAAGGTCATCTTACTTGTTTCCTGAGGAACCCGTATGTGGATGAAGAGGCAAGTTAGAACTGAACATGAAACAACTGACTGCTTTAAGATTGAGGAAGGAGTACAACAAGGCTATCTATTGCCACCTTATTTATTTCACACAGACAGTAAATCAGGTTAAATGCCAGTCTGGACAAATTAAAAGACAGAATTCAGATTACTGGGGAAAATATTAGCAATGCTGGGGGTAGCTAGGTGGCACAGTGGATAGAGCACCAGCTCTGGAATCAGGAGGACTTGAGTTCAAATCCAACCTCAGACACTTACTAAAAGTGTGACCCTAGGCAAGTCACTTAACCCTGATTGGCTTGATGTCAGATATGCAGAGGATTACACTCTGATGGCAGAAAGTGAAGAATCAAGAAGCTTCTTTATGAGGGTGAAAGAGGAGAGTGTTAAAGTTGGCTTGAAGTTTAACATAAAAAAAAAAAACCTAAGAGCATGGCAACTGGTCCCATTACCTCCTGGCAGATAGAGGGAGTAGAAATGAAGCAGTGTCAGAATTTTTATTGTTGGGCTCAAAAATTACTGTAAATGGCAACTATAGCCATAAAATGAAAAGATGCTGGCTCCTTAGCAGGAAAGCTATGGCTAATGTGGACAGCATACGAAAAATCAGAGATGTCACCTTGCCAATAAAGGTACATTTAGCCAAAGCCATTGTTTTTCTAGTAGTGATGTTTGACTGTGAGAGTTGGAATCTAAGGAAAGCTGATTGCCACAGAATTGACACTTGCAGATTGTGGGGCTGGAGAAGACTTTTCAGAGTGGGTACCTTGGACTGCAAGGAGATCAAATCCAATTAATTCACACTATCCACTGGAAGGTTAAATACTGAAGCTGAAACTTTGGCCACACAATGAGAAGATAAGACTCACTGGAAAGACCTGCTGTTGGGAAGGACTAAAGGCAGAAGGAGAAGAGGACGGCACAGGATGAGGTGGACAGTGTCATGGAAGCAATGAGCATGAGCTTGGAAAACTTTGGGAGATGGTGAGGGATAGGAAGGTCTGCCATGCTGTGGTCCGAGAGATCACAAAGAGTCACTGAACAACTAGACAACAAAAATAACTGCATCAACTTCTAGAAATCGTTCTTTAATCAGCAGCATTTCACACACAGCAATTTCCTAAATATCCCAGTATAAGAAAAAATAGAAGATAATAGCAAAATGATGTTTGGGATTTAAAATACAAGATAAAATTATTGGCAGCCTAATGACATCAATTCAATTTACTACATTTCCAAATTATCCTACATAGAAGGTCACTTCATGCATCTCTCAATTTGACGCTCTGGGCTGACTGCATTCAGAGAACGCTGTAGCATAACTTTGCTCCAGTTACACCACCTTCATATCAAATTTCATCTCCATTTTGTATTAATACTGTGAGAAATGTTTCATTTGGACCTCTACTTTATTCCTATCCATATTATTCAGTTTGGTATTTTACATAAATCATAGGGATAGCTAGGTTCTTATAGCAGGCTTCAAACTGAGATGTAATGTTCACTACTTGTTTACCAAGTTATGAGGCTCCTTGTACAACCACAAGAATACTGACAAAGATCTCTCCATCCTGTTTTACTCAAATTCCATGTCCAAAACCAGCATGGGTCAGATGCCTTGAAGCTTTGGAAAGTCTCCCAACTTATTTTTGTCCCACCGGACTATTCCCTCACCCAGTATGTGCAGGTGACATCTTAGGACCACTTATGCCTCTCCTGGACTGTGGGCTCTGTGGAAATGGAATTAACACTGGGCTTACTAATCATCTTGATTTGCTTGAGCTCCCTTATTATCCAGGAGAGGCTGAAATAACCCAGGAATCAAAATCGGGCCAATCAGGAGGTGGATGAATGTCGCTCAAGTTTGACATACCAGGGATCCTTTGCAGCATCCACTGAGTGAGCCCAGAACACCTCTGCTGTGCCAGCAACCACAGGGCTGGCTCAAACTGGTTCATGCTGGCCCCAAATGGACAGAGCTTGCACAAGCATCCTAGTTCTGGGTAATCTGCATGTCTCCTATTCTCCTGCCTCTCTTTGTTGTAAAGCCACATAAGCCACTCGCTGAGCCCCCAATCACAGGAGCAGCCAGGCTAGGTTCTACTGTTCCCCAAGCGCATGCATGTGCTGTTCTCACCCAACACCTGCTTCCGGGTTTTGCACTTGATCCATGCCTCCATTCCCTCTAGTCAGGTGGACGTGTACCTCAAATAATCATTCTGCCACAATTCATCAGCTCCTTTATACTTTGTAAGGGTGACTCAGCTTTAGTGTCTTATTTTCCTCCTAATAAAACTATTCTGCTTTCAACTCACCTTGGACTCTTCTGAATGTTGAGGGGCAGGCTTTGCCTAGTTCACATTTCTGGTGTCAAAAGTGGGATTCATCATGGTGAGGCATGTCTCTGTGACAACTGGAGTGGTGGTGCAGGTGCTTTGTACTGGCTTGGACCTTTTGATGCCCAGCCTGATGTCTCCCGCTTTGGGGTCCCTGCTTGAATCCTAAGCTCCTGTCCCTTTCAGGTGAGTCCATTTGTTAGGAAGACAAGAGGTACCAGGGCAGATAAAGACTTGGCATGGGCAATGTTGATCAATAACTAAGGCCCAAAAGGCTCCGGGGTTTGTCACCATAGGGTGGAGACTCCTTCGTGGGCTTCACAAGGCAGACACCTGTGTCTGGGGGACTGGTGAAAACCTGCAGGTCAGGACTGATGAGTCCCAGGGTTTACAGTTTAGTTAGGGTTAGGAACTGATTAAAGCCCCAGTTTTTAATTCAGGTAGTCTACATTACTTGGTGAAAAGACAAGTTCCAGAATAAAGTAAAATCAGGGGCAGCTAGGTGGCACAGTGGATAGAGAACTGGCCCTGGAGTCACGACAACCTGAGTTCAAATCTGGCCTCAGACACATAAAAACACTAGCTGTGTGACAATGGGCAAGTGACTTAACCCCATTGCCTAGCCAAAAACAAAACAAAACACAGAATAAAGTAAAATCTTGGTCAAGTTCCCAAGGGGAACCAACTTTCCCAACTATCCTCCCAAGGGAACAGCAGCTGGCCATATTCCTATATTATGGGCCTCAAACCTGCAAGCCATTAACTAATTGGCAGAAATTGCCCCAAGATGATCCCCATCACTGTTGGCCAATGTGGAATTTTTTTTTAGTCAGGATAAATTACCTTAACTGTCTTGATGAAGCCAATAAGATAATTAAATACCACAAAGGGGATGCTTTTAATTGGTGGCTACACAAAAACCACCAAAGGAGAAGCCTCTTGTAACTTGGACTCCTTTAAGAAAACCTTAAATAGAATTAAAAAGAATAGGTAAAGGGCAGAAGAGAAGATTTGCACCCTCCAGAATGACAGAATTGTATTGCACAATTAATGCATGTCAGATCAAATTGCCCAGCCCTAAGAAAATCTACCCACCCCTCCCC